TTTTTATTTTTTCTGTCTAATCTCTGTTACTTGTTACATTTTTACACGCATCCTTCACTTTGCAGCCCTTCCAAATGCCTAGTATTTTTCTGCTTATTTCCCACCTTTTCTCAGCAATCTGGTTGGTGAATAGGTAACTGTGTCCTGTTTCTGCTCTCACAGGATGAAACTCTGAATACTAGGGAGCTGCACTTGCAAAAGCGACCAAAATGAATAGGTACAGTAATCATTAACAGGATGGGTTGCTCAGAAGCTGGAAAATAGATTTGTGTGTGTGAACTTCCTGTGAAAAGAGACAAAATAGACTGAAGAGATCTAATGCTTTTGAATGTTTTAGTTTAAATAGTGCCTGTTTCCATGAAATCTATACAAAACTGTAAAATACTCTCCATTACCAACATGTGTTGTGTTTGAAAGAAGTAAATAGTGAATTACAATCTTAGAAGTCTTAGAAGTATGTATACCACAAAGGGAAGAAGAGTTAATCATAATAGAAAAAGGGAATTTGCCCATATAATTGAAATAGTTGTCAATTAAATAATGATATGAATGGGAGAAATGGTGAATAATGTGGTGGACTCTAATGTATTTTGAAAGAAGGTGCATCTCTCTCTCTTAGGAAAGTTTTATTCCAGATCTAGTCCAGTCTGGTTCTCCAGAGTCCTGTCTTGTAAAACCAGAGGTAAGACTTCCGTGGCTCTTTGAGCTGGTCTGGCCAGGGGGTCTTGTAGTCTTCCTGCCCTGAGCCAGCACTGACTTCATGTTAACGGGCAGTGAGTTGTTTTGGGGAAATTCACAGGCTGAAAACTACACTTGCTTGCAGCGGTAGTTGGTGCCTGGCTGGACGAGCCCCAGGACTCATCTGTTACCCCAGCAGTGCAGGCTGGAGAGGTAGCTGCGGGGCAGAAAGGGATGGGTTTCTGTAGGGCATGAAGTGGGGGAGCAGAGCTTGGGCAGCCCCAAGAGAGACTGAGGATGGGATACAGGCTGGAAGCACAGAATGGATGTGTAGGTGTAGGACAGCCCCTCACAGCATCACTCTGTGTTCATAGCATGTTTCTAACTTAACATTAATGTCCTGCTCTGTGTTTGCTGCTGAAAGTCCTGGTACTTAATAGCATCATTTCAGTCCATTTAATGGTATCTTGACAGAAAAAAATGATGATATGGAAGACACCAAATAAAAGAAGATGAGTAGAAGGCTGCTGTTTGGGAGGAAGATAGTAAGATACATTTAAAAGAAGCCTTTATTAAGCTTTGCTTTGGCATAATTATGTCTGCACAAAAGAAAAAAATAGCATCCAACAGGCCAAAGATGCTACCAGAGGTCAGAATGTAAAGTTGCATAGGCCCAAATGGATCTCTTAAAAGTAATCAAGCAGTTTGGAAAAGAGAGGAGTTTTCTGCGTAAACTTTGCACGTACATGAACTGCTCTGCTCCAGAGCTGTTTATCTCAATGCTTTGCATAGGTGTGAGTCTGCATTTTTGTCTTTTTTGCAAAGTTAGATTCATGTAATTTGAAATCAGCCTGACCTCTGGTAGTGTCTGGAAAAAATCTCGCTATATCATCTGGCCCTACTGGTCTGTACTTACTGTAGTTCTTTCACTAGCTTATTATCCTTCAAACTCCTAAGCAGTTTTTCATTTAACTACACACAATTCTTAATGCTTATTTTAAAATGCCAAGAGTTTCTGTTTCTATTGTAGTCCTCATGCTTGCTTATCCTTCCTTTACAATAGTTTTCAATTTCCTCTTTCTTGTTATAAACTACTAAATCCTGTATTACTTTTAAGTCTTTCAAAGTAATTTTCTTTCACTCGCATTGTTTTTAGACTAATATTTATTTTCTGAAAGCTGTATGCTCTGCCTTGCTTCTCCCCACTTAACATATGAACTTGCTGACTGATGTCAGCTGGAACTGTCAAAGTGGTCAGTCTTGAGGGTATCAAATTCTCACAGCTTTTATTGGTAGGGGGGAACAGGCCACGTGAATGTTTCTGCTAATGGAAGCTCTGCAGCGTGATTTCAGGCTACCTGCTCTGTTAGACCTGACTGAAACAGGCTGGCTGGTTGAGGTGCGGCTCTGATGTTGCTCTTTGGCAAGCCGTTGGGGAGCGCGACTGGATTTTACACCAGTGCCTCAAGTGCTCTGGGCTGCAAGTCTAGAGTTTGCAGTGCAGTGAAGCTACACAGGATGCCTGTGTCAGTGATTCACACCTGATCTTGAAGTGCCTCAGCTGAATGAGTCTTAAAATTGAGCTCTGTAAAGCTGTAATTTTCATGGAGCAGCCTTCAAGTCATATTAATCAGTGAAATTTTGATTAGAAGCTGGTGTATATGCTGGTCTACACGTGATTCCAGGGCTTGACAGCAGTAAGTTTGTTGAAGTTTAGTGTCTGTTGGCATATTCTGTAAATAGATCTTTCTTTTTAAGCGGGAAAAATCCAGAAGGAGAATATATTTATAATTTTCACTTGCATCTTACTGGAGCTCCATCCTGAAAAGTTAACAATTTTCAGTTTAGAGTTGTTTTGTGTGTTTATGGGGGTTTCTTTTCTTTTTTTTTTTTTTTTTTTAAGGAGAAAAGACTGAGGGTTGTGCTGGTTTTTTTTCCCAGCACCTTTTCTTAAAGATAATGCAACAGGATGTCTGGGTGAAATGTGATATTGTTGGGTTTTGGCATTGCAGGAGAGCTTGAAGTAGATCCAACATACCATCTTATGCTTTCCCTTCTGCACCGAATGTCAGGAGTGGTTCATGTTGTTGACAGCTATGTCAGCATGTGAAGCTGAATGAAAGACAGCAACTAAACAAAAAGCTAATAAAAGAAGAAGCAAGAAAGTGGAAACTGAACACTTTGTTAGTAAACTTCATTGCTGTCACTAGTAGGAGGGTCAAATAGTGGAGCCTGTCCTTATCTGTTACCACAAACACTTTCTTTTTGGCAATGTTCAGGTGAAAGAGGGCTGTTTGTACATCTCTGTGCATTTTGTGACTATGAGACACAAGCAGTTTACCCAGGAAACACACACAGGAGATTTATATAGAGGCAGGCACAGAAAAGTCACTTTTATTTGTCTCCTTTTGTGTAATTATTTACCTTACTTGAAGCTTATGCTTCCGAAAAATATAAAGTATGGTCTCACTTGTACCCATTGAAAATGTTAAATACGTGGTTTGTCTGCCAGGCAATGTGAGACTTCATGTTTGTTGTTGTTTGATGAGTCTTCTGCAATGGAAGAGCCACCTCAGTTGGTTTAGTTGTTACCACAGTATGTACCCTGTGATAAACTAACCAGCGACTCCAGTACAGGCTGTTCAAGGAATATTTATTCTATTTTGAGACTTGCTTAGTCATCCCTGGTTTTGCTTCTAACGGATTATGGGCATTACTCCATGTTCTTTTCCAGTAAAGCTGATGAAGAAATTAATTAAAAGGCCAGTTTGTGGTACTGGAGGATGAGAGTTCTGGAGTGCTCTGTTACTGCTCAAGTGTGTTGTGTACTGCTAGCCAAAATCAGAGAATACGTTCCTCATTTTATTGTGTTGGTAAATCTAACAGTTTACATCACGCAGGTATGGAGTAGCTGGTAAATATGGGGCAAGCGTACATGTAAGAGGATTTTTATTAGTAGGGAATATGATACAGCCCTTCTGTGTCCTGAAGACAACATTCATCTGTAAATATTTCTTCACTGTTGTAAATAGAAAATTTTAGTAAACCTTTAATTTGGTTTTTCTAATTGCTAAATCTGCTTATTTGTTTTCACTTGTGATTTGATGTGGTCTGTTGTTGGTGGGTCGGGTATGGCAGCTGCGTAAAACACATCAGTATCCTCAATTATTAGTATGTTTTGTGTTGATTTTTTAGGTGGCCTGGTGATGTGTAAATCTAGTACATTTTGTGTATAACTGAATTGTTACATAAAGGAAAGTATTTTCTCTTACCAGAAGTAAAATGCTTTTTGTGGGGACTTTTCATGCCAGGACTCCAATTTTGAAGACTTACTTTGTTGCTTGGCTTAAAGGAAGATGATGTCATTAATGAATTCTGAGCATCCTTCAGGAGGCTGGTGACCCTTCTATCATTGGTGAATGCTGTCATGGACAACTTCAAAGGGTAAAGACGTTATTTTTGTGATTCAGCTTCAGGCTAGTGCTCTGATACAGGAAGCAGTGGGTTAAGTTTTTGGTTTGGATTAACTGCCCCAAACTCTTTCTTTTTACTCTTAAAACCATCACAAAGTGTGGGAACAAATTAGAGGAAACAATTCACTGGAGTAGCTGTCCAACTTTCTGTATGGGCTGTCTTTGAAGGATGTATTTACTCTACAGTTTATAATATACTGTAGGTATACTTGAGCTAGTTTTAAATGAGCTAATTTGGTCTGGGAGAAGTTTTACTGAAAAATATAAGCAATGAAGTAGCTTCGGTTTTGTTGAGTTGTGTAGTGCTGCAGCCCGACTAGGTACTCGAGTACTTTGTTTAAAAGTCAGTTTTAGTTTAAGTATTTCAAAACTATACTACTGCTAATTTTTTCTGTACCTTCAGATACTCTTCTACAGTTGCTTACTGCAAGGGCCAGATCTCATTTCATACTTGATTTCATTTCCATAAGTCAGTGAAAGATTTTTTTTCTCTTAATAAATCCCTGAAAATAATGCTTAATTTAACCATTAGTTGTTTTGTTGCTCGAGGGCTAGTTTTGGTTAATGTTCCTTCATAATCTGTTTTTAAACACAGTAAATGGAAAGCCACACTTGTTAGCCACCAACGAAATAATTGTCTTAACATAAAATGCAATAGGTCATTGTTTCAGTTGTAGTACTTTATTTAAGAGGGTATTGAGAAGACTACGGCTTTCTTTCTAAGCATGTTTTATCTGCTCACTATGTTTATTCATTCTGTTTTATCAGCTCTTTTCCAAAACACCACAAGGAGTTAATGCACCTCATTACGGACTCCTGACCTTCCACATCTTCCTAAATACTATCTCGATGCCACCAGTGTTTCCCATGTTAACAGTCCTGAGCATGTTCTACTACATGTGCCTTCGGCGCCGAGCTAGGACAGCCACGCGGGGGGAGATGAACAGCCGCAGGGCCATCGAGGCCAACACCCGAGCCTTACCCGTCAACGTCGAAATAGTTCAGTATGCCAAAGAAGTGCTGGATTTCAGCTCTCACTATGGTAGTGAGAACAGCATGTCATACACCATGTGGAATTTAGCAGGTATCCCCAACGTGTACCCTAGTTCTGGTGACTTTACCCAGACTGCCGTCTTCCGAACTTACGGGACCTGGTGGGATCGTTGCCCCAGCGCCCGGCTGCCGTTCAGGAGGACACCGACCACTTTCTGTAGCCAGGACTACGTGGAACTCGCTTTTGAAGAACCAGTTTATCCCACTGCAGTGCACATCCTGGAAACGTATCATCCTGGAGCTGTGGTCAGGATTTTGGCATGCTCTGCAAATCCTTACTCACAAAATCCACCAGTTGAAGTAAGGTAATTTATTTTTTTTTTTCCTCTTTATTCAATATGTTAAATGTTACAAATAGTGCTGTTTCCCAAACTTTACTTCCTAGTATTGCTCTGTTTTGTATCTGACCCACTAATGTTTTGTGAATTTGTGCGCTTTTTTAGAACTGTGGTGACATGTTTTTTATTGCAACTTCAGAGATGTGGATTTTCTGGTAGGAATTAATGCAGGTCCTAATATCCAATTTAGTTTCTGTGATGATAGTTTTTGTACTGGAATTTTTATGAGCAATAATTATGTATGTACAAAAATCACTTTTGAAATGGCAGTTCTGAGTTCTTGTCTTTCTCCAAAAAGAAAAGCAGATTGTGTAGTAGAGGCTGAGGATTCATGTTGCGGTGTTGTCCAGCTTCAAGGAGCCGTAAACTTTCTTCTCTGTTTTTGTGTTAAATTGTATGTGTAGTACAGTCAGGCACTATAACAATTCTTGTGGAAATGAGGCCAAAACCAGGCACAAAACAGTTGGACAAAAGGTGATGTTTTATCTTTGTCTGATCTTAGTTTTTGGTCTGATGAGAGGGTGTGAGCTGCACTTCACGTTTGCTTCACAGACTAGAAGAAGGTGACTTGATCCTGTTGGTGTTCCTCAGAGTAGGAATTCCTGATGAAATTCTGGTTGCACGGGAAGGAGGATGGGCATGTGGGAAATGGTGAGATAATGAAGAAATACATTGCGTGTGGGGTGTGAAGCTCTTAGTGAGGAGATGAAGAAATAGAAATGGAAGGAGGAGGGGAACAGATAAGAGCACACAGTGGGGAAAAACTTTGGGAAAAGCTATCAGAATATGCAACAAAAGTATTCTGTATAGGTAAAGCTGTGAAATGATACCAAACCCATAAAGGAAAGGAGAACTGATAGAAGAAATACTTAACAAAATGTATCCTGTAGCAAATAATGTGCCAACAAATACTGTGTTGCTTTAAAATGCACACTTTGGTGGTATAAGCAGTGTTAGCTTGGGTGCTGGGTGTTTTTTCCCTGACCTGTCTTTTACAGTTACAGTTAAAAAGCAGACTTCTAATTCTTAGTACCCTGTGCTTCTTAATACTAGAACATCAATGTTTATTCAAAACATCTAGAAATCACCTAGTGCAGTTGTTTGTTTTACAGCTTTCTAATGGGTATACACTGTATAGCTCTAAAGTAAACATCTGAATTCAATGAATCTGAATAGGTCAAATTAATAATAATAGGCCACCTGGCTTCAGAAGTGGGAGAGATTTTGGCACTGTAATACAGAACTTATTTTTAGGGTGATGTGTGGTAAAGGCAGTTTTTAACACTTCTGAACTTAGAATGTAATGTGAAATTACTTTTGGTCAATTACTCTGAACTTTCATTTAACTTTTTTTATTTTATGATGCAGAAATAATCTCTTTGTAAATCTGTGCTACATCATAAAATAAAGAAGTAAAATCTGCAACTGATAATATAGCATTAGAGTAATAGATAGTGTGCTGCAGGGCAATACAAGGATATAACACTGAGTAGTAAGCTAATGCTATTTTATAAAATGTCTGTTTAGGTTTTGGTTCATAAAATGATACACTTTTTTTAGTTTTGTGTAAAGACCAAGAAGTGTTGAAGGAAAGCTCAATAAATTAGAATGAAGGAGATATTTAGGAAGGTGCATTAAAAAAAAAGGAAAACTGTTCAGAGAACTAAAAGAAGATGGAAGTGAAAATCCTAATATAAAACTTTTTGGAATGTGCTTTATGACTCCTCTTGGGATGTGGTCAGAGTGAGAGCTCAGGCTTTCCTTTTTTCATAAAAAAGATGAAGTTTCTGTAGGACCTTGATTTTTAGTCTGTAGGCAAGAGTATCTGCTATTCTGCCTGCCTAGGCTAACAACATTTTTGGTTAGGAGACAGTTCTTCTGATCTCTCAAGGAGCCTCAGAACAGTTGTCCATGCTGCATCTTCAGTACTTGACAGTCTTGATGCTAGAGAAGTGTTTGAGGGACTTTTTTTTTTTTTTTTTTTTGGCTTATACATTCTCAGCAGGACTTGTCTGTTCAGAGCTGCACATTTGGTTTTTCTCCTTTCCTCCAAAGGAGAGAAACATGTCTTATGCACAGTGTCCTGAAGGCGAGGTGAAGGAACTCTTTCTCTACGTGAGATACTCAGTGTTTTTTCTCTGTTCATTTTCTCACCTTCATGAGGGGAATATGAGGAGCTGCAAGAATGCAGTCTCTTTTCTGCTCCAGTTTTTGGTCCCTTGTTTTCCATTCTAAAAATTCTCTGAGATGTCAGCTAAGCATTATTTCTTTGAAAATGGAATGCTGCTGATAATCTCTGATGATTATGTTTAGCTGATGTTTTGCACATGGAGAACTGCCATGCTATTTCCTGCTGTTAAAAAAGGCCATGTCCAAGTTAGCTGAAGGGCACTTACACCTTTGTTTTCCTCTTCTGACTATTTTAATATTCAATTTTAAATCACCTTATTACCTAAAAAACTAAGTGCTGCTTTGTTTTATCTGCCGACTCTGTATCTGTTTCTTTCTGAACAGCAGTGCAGAAAGGGCAAGTCATTAGAAAGGTTCCTGTTCACCAATTCTTAACTTTGGTATAAAGCAAAGGGCGAATTAATGGTGGAGTCAAAACTGTGGAGAGGAAAAAGTCTGTTGAGACTTGTTTAAATGTTATGCTTAGTGGATTATACTACTACAGCTGAGTAATCTTTTTTTTTTTATCTCTTTGTGTAACATTTAAAACATCAGCTCTTCCAAGACTTTGGTGTGTTCAAAAGTTTCTAACCTACAAAAGGTTCTGTAAGGACGTGGTGTACAGCAGTTCTTGCTCAAGAGACTTTATATCTTCTTGTAGGAAAAATAGCCCTCATAGTTGGCCAGCATGTTGCTCTGTTGCACACTTTTATGCTTCAGTTGCAAGGAAGAACAAGTTATGCAGATGTTCAGGAAGAGGTGTTTAGTCATGCTTCCCTGTTGCCAGTGCATTAAATATTGCTATCAGTTGCAGCTTTGTATGACACTGAGTCAGATCAGCTTTATTCAGAGCCTTTTTAGAGGTGGGATCAGCTCCTCATGAAATCAGAATAAGCATTTAGTTTTCAGAACGGAATGTAATTGTTCCTAAATAATTCTGATGCTTAAAACACGACAGATAATTTGAAGCGTTTTCATTATGGTTTAACCAGCCTCTAGCAATTTCATGATTCTCTATCCTCTGCTTATTTTGCTGCTTTAAACACAGAAGATCACTCTCTGCTGCATAAAATAGATGTAAAAAAATGTGTCAGAGAACTGCTGTCTTTCCACATAGAGTCCTTTTGTGATTTTCATTAGTGCACTTACGCCTTGACTGGTGAGAGGCGTTTGGTAATTTCTTAAACTGTACTAACATATGTGAGTATCCATCTACAAATTGGTTACATGAATTATTTTGAGTGCAGAAAATCCAAGCAAAAATCAATAATCTGACATTAAGGGAATATTATAGCATGTACAGTCTCAGTTCTTATGGGGTGAAGAAATCCCTCCCTTTTTGATACTGTGTTGTACTGTGATTTTTGTACTAGTGTAGCCTTGAGGTTTTGTACTGTAGTGCACATTCTGTGTACTTGGGGTTTGGTGACAACGATGAGTCCCTCTGCAGCCGGTGGAAGGGGCAGAGCTCCACACAGGCCTGATGGGAACACTGCACCTGATAGTGGTGTGAGCTGAACCCAGCCAAGAGAATTTTCTCTGTTTCTCATAGTGTATTAGACAGATGGATAAGATATAGTTAGCTTCTTTGACGAGGAAAATGTTTTCGTGCCTGTTTCTTTTTCCTCCTCGTTTGCCCAGAGTCTTACTCTCAGCCATTCCTACTGTCTTCTTTGGTGTCAGCCCTTTTGAAACATTTGAATACTCCTAATAGTTAGCTGCTGTCAGACTGAAAGAGTTTGTGTGTGTTTAAATAGGAGCTTTCAAGTTAGAAATAAGTTTTTTGGAAGTTTGTGAACTTTTTCCTTTTACAAAAATAACTTGGCTTTTAAAATTTGGAATATAAAAGAGAAAACTGGTCCCTGCTCTGCTTCTGTTGTGTGTGTTTTGTTTTGTTTTTTTTTTTTAAACTTAATTTGACAGTTTCTCTTGTGTACATTATAGTGACGCCACATAGTCGTGCTTTTATGAAAGCTCAAAACCAGAGATTCCTAACTAGCCTGGGATGTGTGGCAGTGCTTGAGGTTATGTTTCATAGCATGTGTTTTTACCACAATGAGATGATTGCTTCTATAATCAATTGGAGATTGTTTTGTGATTATTTTTTTCTTGTTTTCCACAGACAAAGTGCAACACTGATTAGGTTGTTTTTCACAGGTGAGATACCGTCATTGTTTGAGTCGCTGGGAGCAGTTCCATTTTGCCTTGTGTGTTCCCAACATTCATTTCTATGTAATTTAATTTCTTTTATGTCATTTAGAATTTTGCTAGATGCTCTTTTGAGCAAAATTCCAAGTTTGATTTGTAGATGAACAACTTGGCTCAGTATTTCCTAGCTTAGCTGTGTTTGCTGCATGTGAGTTTCCTTGCTCTTTCTGAAGGTCTTGGAGCCTGTAGAGGTAGAAGCTGCTGCAACCAGAGGAGCAGGCTAAGGAAGATGCACAAAGTAAAAGGCTGCCTCTCTTTCCATTAGGATGCTCATTGTATTTAGGCAGTACAGCACAAATCCAGATGACAATGTAGCAGATTTGTTTGCTGGCATCCAAGATATGGATTAAAATGTTTGATTAAAAAAAAAAAAAAATAATCCCCCCTTCTGACAAAGGAAGTGAAAACAGGAAGGCAGTGTACTGGATGTGAAATATCGTGAGTCTCTTGCTTGTAGAGTGATGTTCAGATGGTTCTTTTGCTCTACCTTTTGTTCCTTGTGAATCTCAGATGAAGGCACCCAAAACACTGCTGATACCATCAACACATTAGAGTGCGATAAGAGACCTTCAGGGCTGTATCTCACCTATGTATAACACAACTCAAGTTCTAGCTGTTTGCATCCGTACTTATAACTTGTTTTGACATCTTCAGGGGAGCAGCTTTTTCTTGTCCAGATGACTGTCGCAGAAGAATGAATTCTGGTCTCATGAGGGGACAGTCATTTTTGAGAAACCCATAAAAAGCTTGTGTGGACAGGGCAGTTGTTTGAAATATCTTTTGCTGTTTTGAATGCCCTGAGCATTCTTGGTGTCCTGTCTACTCTCTCTGGTATTTCAGAATTGAACTCTCAAAGTAGAAATGAAAATGTGCTGCATATTCACCCATACTAATTAGACTGCTGTGAACTCTGCTTATCAGCTTGATCTGAATGGTTCTAAAAATGTTCTCATGAGTGGTTTTCCCTTCCTTTTGTATTTACAAACTCACAGCTGTGGCCAGGGCTGAACTTTCCAGGTTACGTTGAACCTGGTGTGCTGAAGCATCCTTGGCATGTTAGCAGGCAGGAGACCTTACCTGTAGCCTACAGATTATTTACAGAGCGCTTGCTTGGATAAGAGCAGATGGGATGTATTATAATCACATAGGATGGTTATAATTGTTGCAGAAGTTACAATTTCAGCAAAGGCATGGTCATATTATTCTCTGAATTTCCTTATGTTCTCCTTACTGGTCTATATGAAACTTTCCGTTCTTCTGGCTTTTAACACAGCTGTTAAGTTTCTTGGGGCAGGACATTTATTTTTTGGGGGGGCTTGAATCACATGCAGTGCTTTATTTATAATGCAAGAAATCTCAGAAGATAGCAGATGAAGTTTAATCTTATCTTGCTGGAGAGAAACCCGGTTACTTTTTCTAGGGGCTACTTTTCCAAAGAGTCTTTCTTATTACATGTTTTCTTCAGAAATAACCAGATCTACTCAGGCATCATCTTAGCCATTAAAGAGCTTTCCAACAGCATTAGGTCAATAAAAAATTAAACAAGCCTTAAATATGTGCTCTTATTTGACACAAAACTTTCAAGGATGTTTCTCAGCCTAAAAGTCACTAGGCTGTATTTTCCTTTGTGGAGAGGAAAGGAGAATGAGATTTTTTTAAAAAAAAAAAAAAAATAAAATTTTAAAACATGGTATGTCTGTTTCTATCATGAATTTGAGCAGAATGAGTTCCTGGCTAGCTTCGTGAGGTAGAGAGAAATCTACTCGGAAAACTGAGTGCAATAAAACTGTATGGAAAAACTTCACATAAAGTCCTCATTTTCTTCAATCACTAGAGAAAATGTTGCAGGTGTTACTGCCTCTCATACAGGCTCTGCATGCCCATGTAAAGGCCGAGGCTTTCTATCCCATTGCTGCTGAAAGCCTTCTTATCAAAGCACTCTCATTGGAACATCCTTGGTCAGTTATTACTGTGTATCTGCAAGATTTGGGGACAAACAGTGGCCTACCATCAGTCATTTGACCCTGTTTAATTTTTTGAGAGCTACCTAATTAACTCAAAAGAGGGAGCAGAGGGGAGGGAGGGTCAGAAAGGAAAATTCCTTTGACTTCTTTACAGGTGTTTGTTTGAATTTGGTTTCTCTTTGTTTTGGTTTAAAATACTTTATCAAGCACCTTATGCTTGGAACAAATTCAGGCAACCTTATTAGCAAAGCTGACTTTGGTACACACACTGGAACCAGGACTGACTGTCAAAATGCCCTTCTTTTGAAGAGCCTTGAAATGAATGCCCATAGCAAAAGTTGCTCCAGAACAGGAGAAATGTTCTTCCTGAGGCCTCGTAGAAATCCATTTCCAACTGTGGAGTCTTCACTCCCATTCAGATTATATGTAGCCCATTCAAATGTCAAAAAGTGCTCATCCTAGATGAAGAGACCACTTGCAGTTGCAGTAGTGGCCTAATAGACTTGCAATTTTGCAGCTAAACCAACAGCTTGCTCCTTTTAAATTTAGATTGGTGGGCTGTTGATGACAAGAAAGCGATACCACAAGGGCAGTGGAAAGTAGTCACCAGTCTCATTGTTCATTAGCAGTGGGGATGTAATGTGGAGTTTCACAAGACTGTAAAGTCATGTTGCAAGTCTTTCATTTCTCTAGTTTATTACGAAGACTGGAAACTGGAGACACTGCTTGCTGACAGGGGGTTATTGCTCTGCAATTTGATGAACCTAGATCTCCAGATGCCTTATCTTGTTCCAGAGCTCTGCTGCTGCTAGATAATCCTCTCTTCAGGGCACCAAAAGAGAAGTCAATAACTGAGACACATTCTGTTAAAAGTTGATGGTCCAGTGTGTGCTAAATTAGTGAAAAAATAGCCTTGAGTTTCCCTGAGGATCATTTGAGTGGGTATATGAAAGTGTCTAAGCAAAATGTCAGATGGTGATCTGGATGTGTTTCAAGAAAGGTCATGTGCATTGCCAACATTAAGTATTTGCTTAGGGAATCGACCTGTGTGAGAGGGTGTGACAGAGGGACTACGTCTGTTACTTTTTGCCATGATTTGACATTTATTTGCTAAATGAATGAAATCTTCTCTTAGTAATGAGTCCCTCTTAAAAAACCTGTTAACCTTAGGGTAGAATTTTCTGCTCTTATACATTGGTACTTTCTGATGTGCCATGTATTCACCAATCCTGCATGTATGTTTGTAGTTCATGACTTCTTTTTTTTTTCCCCCTTGGAGAGAAGACTTCTGCAGGCCTCCCATTCTACTGTAAGGTATTTTTGGAGAGTGGCATGATATGGGATAGGAAAGTTTACTTGTGCTTACCTGAAAATGTCCATTGTGAAATGGATGTTTCAGCCAATACAGGTTAATTTTCCTATCCTTGAAATAGTAGCAAATATCAAGCTTCTAAGCCTTATTTATACTGTATGCTGTGTTTTAATCAAAGTCCTTATGTGTGTTTTAATTCCTGTCATGATGGACAAAGTTTAAGCATTTAGTTCTGGACAATAAGGTATTTGGTTTTGTTTGTTTTTAATTCTTTCTTTGTCCTGTCTGTTTGGCAGTATGTGTCAATATTGCATAATATTTGGTAAGTTCAGAGTTGAGGTATGTGGTAGGAAAAGCTGAGATGCTGAGGTACTGGGGAGCGGATACAGCATTTCTTTGAGACCCATGTGAGAGAACAAGTAGCCTGAGAGACGTTGCTGAAGCTGGGACTGGGGTGATCAGGAAGAGACGGAGTAGATTTGGAAATGTCTGGGTTATGCACATGGGATACAGAGATCCCTGTAAGCATCATGTCACATGGAGTAGCAGCAGTGGCTGCTGGAGGCGTCCTTCTTCAGGAATGAACTGAACCTGAGGAGGAAAGATGTGCACCAGTGACTGAAGGACCTCTGAAATCCATTCACTGAGTGAGGACCCATGAAGATAAAATGTTTCTATTTTCAGGCCTTTTGGAAAGTTTGGGAGCACTGAAGATGTCATGAATATGACTCGATCCTCCAGGTTACTCAATTAGCAGCAGGTTTGACTGTGAGAGTAAGGATGTATTTATGGGAGCTCTGTGCCTGCCCTGAACCTCCTCCTATCAGTGGACCAAAAAGGAGAAAAACTTTTCTGTTGAGTAGGGTTTTTTTCTGCAAAGGACCTGTGCAGATTCTATTTTCTCTGGTAATTTGACAGTGAATTATTTTTAAAAGGAACGGTTGCTTCCCTGGATGGATCAAATAAAGTTTATATTATTTTCTATCTAACAATTTGCAATTCTGGAATTTGAACTGATTTGATATAAGAGTCTGAGCTGTGGGATTTTTTCTTTTTTAATTTTTTTTTTTGTGAAAAGCTTTGGTGGGAAATGAGAGGTCAGCTGACTGTATATTTGAGTTACATGGTACACCTGTTCTCTGCATACTTAGAGCATCATTGTGAACATATCTGTAATCCCTTTGCTGCAACTACCTTACCTGTGGGATGTTAGAAAACCTCATGCATGGATAACAGTACTCTAACACAGGTGTGACTATTGACTATACAGCTTGTTTCGTCAGTTAGCAATGCAGAGAAAATATACTAAGGTTGTGAATTAGTGAGCTCTATTAAATTCATCCTTAGGGTGGTTACCAAACCTAGGGAGAACAGAATTTTCATTGCCTTTTCAACCATGTTTCCCACTTGTTAAATACTCCTGACAGAGAAGCACTCTTCCTGTGCTCAGGGATTGCTTTAGTAGCTTTGATGTTAACCCCCATACTGTCCTTGTATGCCATTTTTCTTTCACAGATGGGAAGTCCTATGGTCCGAGGCACCTACGAAGGTGAATGGTCCTCAGGCTCGGCAGTTCACACCTTGTATCAAACAGATAAACTTTCCCACCAACTTAATCCGACTGGAAGTGAACAGCTCTCTTTTGGACTACTACACTGAACTGGATGCAGTAGTACTACATGGTGTGAAAGAGAGACCTGTGCTTTCACTTAAGACTTCAATGATTGATATGAATGATATTGATGAAGATGAGGATGAAGAAAAGTGTGACTGTGGGATGGACACCCTTAATAACCAGTTCAGCATTGTTGCCCTCAGGGAATGGCCGACTAACGGATATTTTGATAAACTGCCTTATGAGGTAAGCAAGGCAGGTTTATGTTCAGTGTATTTGTCTTGATCATTAAGGGTGCAGAGGTGCTTTATAGGCTACTGGTCAAGATTGTTGGTTTTTTTTTTCCGTTAGTTCCTTGCATTCTTTTGTGAGTCTCCTGCAGTTATTGTATACTTATGCCCAAATTCTATAAGTCTCTCTACTCCCGTGAATGGATGTTAGCAAGCCTCTTTGCATCTATTTGCATAGTTACTGCATTTTTATTTCTCAAGAATCTCTCCATTCACACACAGTTTTTACACCAGTTATTCTAGCTTTGAATTTCTAGCTCTTGAACTTAAAAGCTTCTGGCAGTTTTCCTGTAGTTTTAGTCCTCATGCTTGATGAAGAAGATATAATGAAAGAGATGGGAAAAGACTGAATCAAGATCTGGGTGTGCAAATAGTGTGTAGTAGGCTAAACATTTCTTTGCCTATTTTCTTGTTGAAACCATGTTGGAGGAGGACCAGAGGAGGGCCACAAAAATAATCAAAGGGCTGGAGCACTTCTCCTTTGAGGAAAGGCTGAGGGATTTGGGGTGTTCAGCCTGGAGAAGAGTCCAGGGAGACCTTATTGTGGCCTTTCAGTACTTAACAGAGGCTTGTAAGAAAGATGAGGACAGTTTTTTTTTTTAGCAGGGCTTGTTGTTACAGGACAAGGGGTAATGGTTATAAACTAAAAGAAGGGAGATTTAGACCAGATACAAGGAAGAAATTTTTTATGATGAGGGTGGTGAAACACTAGAACAGGTTGCCCAAAGGTACCACCTCTACAGTCCAGAGGTGGTAGATGTCCCATCCCTGGAAACGTTGACAGTCGGATTGAATGGGGCACTGAGCAACTTGATCTGGTTGAAAATGTCCCTGGTAATTGCAGGGAGGATGGACTAGGTGACCTTTAAAGGTACCTTCCAGCCCAAACCAATGATCACTCTTACTAAACCCCAGAACTTTGTTGTTGAAACTGCCATAATATTTTCATATTATTATTACCTTCAATCCAGGTAAGTTTTGAATCAGGGTGCAGGTAAAAAGTGTTACAGCTAGACTTCTGGACACTGTTGTGTTTTGAAGTTTGATACTTTTTATTGTATCATTAGCAAAGAAGACAGTTCTGAAGAAACTACCTTCAGATTCCCTGGCAGTGTGGCAGTTGCAAGTGTGCTCAGAGTCAGCACAGATAAATATTTTCTTCCAGTAAGTTCCAGTATAATGAGATTGTGAAGTATTGCTGAATATTGTGTGCAGGCAAGGAAATCCTCAGTGGGGTTTAGCCATTGATGGCAGCTAGTAATCTAGTTAGAGGAGGAATTGGGAGATGAACCATTTGTCTCCACCTCTCCTGAAATAAACTGGGTTTGTACCTAGTAGGAAGGAGCCTTTGCTTACTGGTTAGACCTCTGGACTTGGGCCGAGACGTGGTTGCTTCTGCTCTTTAGTGGACTGCAGTCTGGTGAAAGAAGCAAGTGGTTGTGTGCTGTGGTAACTCGTCAAATGCTCAGAGTGCCTGTGGCTTAGATCAGACTTGCTTTTGAAAGCCAAGGGAGGATGGTGAGATGAGCTGTCACTGATTGCAGGGTGCTTTCAGGAACAGTGTTTTGGTTTTGGGTGACCATGTGCCCTAGTAACCTATACCAGGGCCTCTAAAGAAGAGAGAGAGAGGAAGAGCATGTAACAACTCTTACCTTCCTCCTGTGTATTTATTTTCTCTTTTAAGTCTTCTTCAGTTCTGGAATTTCTTTGGGGTTTTTGTTGCTGCAGAGGAAAGATAAATGAGAATAACTTCCCCCTGAGCTAGCTCTAGTGGTGGGATTTTTTTTTTTCCCCAGATTCCATAGAGTATTCAGTGTATTCTGCTGTTGGTGGTTGTATATCAGTACGAAAGTAAAGAAGTACTTTGCAAAGATGGAGTTGATTTCAGAACATCTTAAATTATATAACTTTTAAAAAGATTGAATATGTATTTAGTCATTCAAAGAAGTTAATTGTAGAAGAAAGCTTTATTAAGATCTAGGAAGTCTTGTTTGAAAAGGCTGGGTAAATTGTTTTGTAGTAGACTACCTGCTAATTAGTCTGTTTTGTGTTCCATGTGATTACTCAGATTAATTAAATTAAGATTATAATTTAGGAAGTATTTGTGTAGTCCTGTTACTTCTATGAACTTCTGCCTCCATGTACTTCATTGTGCTTTTCTGCTTTACTGTTTGTGTACTAGCAACCTTTTTTTATCCATTTTTTAACGTTTGGTTTCATGAATGCATTTATATGGTCTAGCAATACACCAAGCACATTTTTTTTCTTTCTGCTTTGATTTAAAAGAACTGAAAGTATGGGTGGAATATTTATCAGAAAACTACAAAAGACTGTTTCTGGACTGGTTTTGTGACAGCAGAAATTCCAGTCTCCTACTTTATTGGCCCAACAGGAGGGTTTGGGTATCAGAACAACAAAAGTGGTGTACTTCATAGTATGCCTTTTTTTTTTTTATTGCATCAAATAGGGGAACAGTACTCTGCATGCTGTCTTCAAGACTGACAAGTGTTAGATTTTTCTGAGAAGTGTTCAAACCTTTGTAATGATCAAGTAAGGCAGCTGCTGACTCTTTCCAGTTTTGATTGATACATTACATGAAAAAAAAAATCTTTTTACATGTTCATGTTGACTGAAAGTCTAACTATCCTAAGTTTTCATACATACCTATTCATTATTTGAGCTGTCTCAGGCTTTTTCATACTACCCTCTATAATTCACAAAATACACAGGCTGAATGGTCTTTTGTGCTAATCTTCAAGTAGGCAGCATTTCCTCCAGCCTTTGTTTTGCCTTTGTTGTCTTTCTGAAACTTCCAGACTACCCTTTCATAGACTGTGCTGTTCCTCAAAATGGCATTTGAATGGCTTGCTGCTTCATGAACTCCAAAAACAGTGTAAGTGTCTAGATTGCTCATGCCAACAAAAGAGAAGAATGCTGGACTCTTGTGGTACAGACTTCTTTAGAAGAAAGTGTGAAGTCTTAGATGAGCTAGGTGAGAGAATTTTTCTTCACTGCTCGTGGACGGTGTCAACCTTAGTAGCTGTGAAGTACTTGTGCTATCATCTGTTCTCCAGAATTACCTTAAAATTGAGGAAGGAGTTTCTAGGAGGCACTTCCCATATTTGTCTTCCCAGTTATTTTTGACTCGCTTGTGAAGTGGAAGGAGTAGGGCCTTACTCTTAGTTGGTTTTGCAGGAATGGTTGAGACCTGGAGGCCTGCACAAGTTAAAAGCCTTTGAGAAAGTTGAGGAATCCTGCCACAGTGTATCTGTTCTGCATTTTGAGACTCACCAAAATGTGCCAGGTACCAAGAACTTAACTTTTGTTCTCCAGAGAAGATAGTCAGGAGAAACTCTGCATGCTGCAGTCCAAAAGATATTTTTTAATATAAATTTTGATATAAAAAGATAGGAATGGCATCTTTGTCATTCCATGAAGCCAGCTTTTCCTAAATCTGCCTACAAGATTTATGAGCTGTTCATGTCTACTGGGAAAGTGAATTTCATTACTAAATGTGGATTTGGCACCTATGTTCCAGGAAAACTGTTCTTGAATGCAAGATCTGATTCCTTTAAATGGTAGATGAGTTAGAGCAATGAGCAGGAGCAATTTTCTAAGAGTCATACACGTTTTTTTTCTTCAACAGTAAACTTTTGCATCCTTCCAGAACAAGTATTTGTAGGCTTTCAGGTAATTAGGAAGACTTCATGTCTTGCTTTGGAAAAAGAAGCCTCATGAAGGTCTTAGAAGCTGTCTTAACAGGTACTAACCATATGGCAGATTTCCTTCCGCAGCAAGGGAATGGCCAATATACTGCCAATTGCTAAAGCAGACTAGACGCTGAGCCATGGCACATGGAGAAGATCTTTTCAGCTTTAGTCCTCTTGGAGTCTTGAATATCTGATTGTGCAGTCTGTCAGTAGGATCCTTCTCTGTTCTTTGAATCAAGAAGGGGCTTAAAACATTTACAGTCTTTCATTGTTGAGAGGATCAGAGTCCATAGCCTGGTGCTATAAAGCCTACTCCACAAAAGCACGTTACATCAGTAGAAGAAAGAGAAGAAAGACTTAATTCATTGTGTTTTGTGAAATGGTTGCAAGATCCACTTTCCATGTGTTCAGAGTGCACTGTTACATACGTTTGGATTTGCTGGATCATGGAACGAGGGACGGTGATTTCTTAAACTATGTTGAGGAAAGTCAAAAGCCCTGGAATATCATCTTCTTTCTTTTGCCTTTTCTGTGCATGTATCCTTTGTCCTTTATCTGAGAATGTCTTAAGCTCTAACTGATCAGTATTGGCACCAAGCTGTGGCAGCTCTTAACTGCAGAATGAAAAAACTGAAAGTAATTGATTTGCATATTTCTGGACGAGTGGTTGCATAGGCCAGTTGTTCATATGGTGTATGTTCATATTGGAGAGACTCACACTGAAGAGCTGGAAGAGGAAAGTGTACATATTCTAGCTTTAACCAGCATCCAGGCATTATTTGCTGACTAAATACAGTTCTTCATTATTGTGCTGTAGCAACAGAAAGTATTTTATTGGGTACAACTGGTGATTGCTTGCTGTTACTCAGAAAAAAATAAGCTTAAAAGAGCTGGAGAAACTTTTGGGTAGGTAAGTACTGTTAGGAGCATCACCATTGGTAAAGTCTCACTTTATGTATTGAAGAGTGACAGAAATGCTCTCTGAGCTTATAAGCAAACTTCGTAGTGGGTGAGATGCCTGGAGTTTTTTAAGATGTTATATTTTTTTTAACTGGTAATTCAAAATCTATGCATATATTTAGGATGCTGCAAATGGCAATTGTGATGATGATAAAACACAGATCAGGTATGAATCAGGATCTTTGTTGTGCTCAAAGAGGACACAATGAATCTGTGTACCGCTGTGTGTTGGATTGTTGTGGAGCATTATGATCTGGAAACCTTAAATTTTTGGAGATTTCCATGGTAGGGGGTAGTTGGGGTCTGGCCATATCTCTAAAAGTGGCATGTGCCATGTTTGCCTTGGAAATGGGAGAGAGTGTACTTTTTGTACTTTGGGTCCATCATATTCCTTTGTTTTGCCAGTAATCTTTGGTTTTGCTGATCAATTTATAAGAAAGTGTGTTACAACAGTTGCCATAACTTTTCATAAATGCAGGGTAAAAACAGTTGTTTGCAAGAAACTGACACAAAACTATTTTTCAAGCAAATATTCAAATCTGGAGCATTGTTGGAATTGCCATCAACACGGTGTAGCACAATACAGCCACCGTGTCACGTACTCCTTACGGTGTCAAGTTGTGCTTTATGTTAGGATACACATACATAAAAAGTGAATCTCTGGCAGATTATTAGACTGTAGGTTTGGAACCTGTAATCTGTGTTTACTCAAAAGCCAGAAAAAGTACCTTATATCTTAATGTCAGAGTAATGCCTTTCATTCTATTTTTTCATTCTAGATACCATGAAACAGCATAATTTCAGTAAAAAAATAGAGGGATTATTTTTTTCTGATTAAGACATTCATGTGGTAAGAGATTTCATCTCAGGTGTGGAAAGGTTGCAGCACCTGTATGTTACGAAATGCTCATTGAAGTCATTAGTTAGTGTGAAGGGACATTGATGAGGCATTTATAGTTTCATTCACTATTACCTTTACTGTTCAGAAATTACAAAATAACTTTTTTTTCTATTGAACAGATTTTGTATTACTTTGATTTTATCAGACATTATTAAGTTACATTAATTGTGGACAGAAATTTAGCTAACTGTGCAGCCTTTGTTCCTGAGCTCTCTGCTCTTGAAAACTTAGATAAGCATGGGTAAAACCTGAGGGAAAAGACATTCAAAAATAGATATTTAGGTGGCTTACAGAGTATGGAATAGGCAAAAGATGGCAAAATCCTTTGAACCTGTCTTTCAGGACATTAAAAATTATTCAAAGTGAATTGATGGTCTTAGAAATAGGGAAATGTTCAGGTAAGTGCTATCAGAATGACAAACAACTTAAGCAGCTTTTAAACTTAAGTATGGGTCTGAGCCAAGCAAAAAATTAAGATACTGCCTTGGGATTATAGCAGTGTTAGCTCCTGGTTATTTTGCTCTCTATCAGATACCAAAATGCCAACAACCTAAATGTCTAGTTGGAGCAAAATTTGTTAATTATAAAGTATTAAGTGCCATTATTACATAAGCTTTTATGTCACATTGAAATATCTATGCAGATCTTTTGCATCAAGCTGAGATGAAAGTTCCAGGTACCTGCAGAGACAAAAAGCCTGGGCTGCTTCTAGGGGAAAGGAGATGTAAGGAGAAGGGAAGAGGGAAGGCTTGAAATCAAGTTTGAGAGAAATTGGAGTATATGCAAACGCTGTAGTTTGGCATTGGAGTTAAAATTTTGAAGAGTTGTAGATTGTGATTGAAGTCCAAATACTAAATCTGGAGCTGAGTAGGAAGTAACATTTTTTCGTTTTGCAGGAAGTTGGATTGTTTTCTTATTTCTGCTCTTCCAAAAGTTAAGAGGGGAGGGGTTGAGGCGGAAGCTAGCTGCATAATAAACTAGTACATTGGAAGTACAATCTGTTTGGATCTCATGCAAAGCTTCGTTTTAATTTTATGGCAAGGATTTTATTCTGATTTTTGGTGGTTTTGGCTTATGAATCCTTATAAGATGCTAAAATGAAACATGGTGTTTTGAAAGGGCCATAGGACTCTCTTCAGTTTAAGCTGATCTGTGTTTTTGTTTTTTAATTTACAAGACTTCATTTCAGCAAGTTATTGTTTCCCACTGTGCTTGAAAACAGTCAGCTTTAGTTACATAACTCAAATGCAGGTATTTACAGCTGTTAAAGACAGCCCTGGTAAAGTAAACATTGATTTTTAGATTTCATTTTTCAAGTGCATTTTTCTCTCAGTTTCTAAGCTAAAAGAGATTATATTTTTTTTTTTTTTGCCTTTCAGATTTTACTGTCATAGAACAAAAACACTCTCGAAATATTACAATAACAAAGGGATTACTTTGTAAAAGAAGATCTGAATATGTGAAATTTTTTACCTAGTTTTATAGCCCAGCGTTGATGGGTGAAGATATTGAGTAGAAGACACAATATTGATTTTTAAAGCAATAAAATAGGAGTAAACCTGAAATCACTTCAAGGTTTGGGGGAAACTGGGACATGGTATAGTTTTTCCATGTACTCTGCAAATATGCTACCATCTTAAAAACTAAATTCAGAGAAGAAAGAGGATGCCAATTCAGTGTTCTGATCAACATCAGTGCAGACATTGTGCAGGGAAATATGTAAACACAGTGTTTACATATATGTCACTGTTTAAATTAGCACAGGTAAAGAAACTTCTAATTTGAAAGCTTCCTGTCACTTCCATATGCTGATTTGCTTTTCTTTCTTGTTTAATACGATGTCAAATTGAGAAGGCAGTGGAGTCCTGTTGAATAGCTAATCAATGATTTATTCGAGAAGTTACTTTTAAGTAAAAGGGTTTACTTTTCTTTGAAGTTAGAACATCTTTTCTTATTCCTTTGCAGTTTTCTCTTAACATTTCAAGTGCTGTGTGACCATCTGTGACTTTGTTTTTCTGTTTTTAATATAGCTCATCCAGTTGATTTTGAGTCATCTTACAGTACCAGACCTGTGTAGACTAGCACAAACTTGTAAGCTACTGTATCAACATTGCTGTGATCCTCTGCAGTACATTCATCTCAGTTTACAACCTTACTGGGCACGGATTAATGACACGTCTCTGGAATACCTACAGTCTCGCTGCACTCTCATCCAGTGGCTGAATTTATCTTGGACTGGAAACAGGGGAGCCATCTCTGTTTCTGGATTTAGCAGGTCAGTGCTAAATGTACAGAAGGATTTTGGCAAGCTCTGTTTGCAGAGCTGCTGCACAGTAGTTTCACTAAGTATTTGAAACCTTATTAAAAGACAAAAAATGTCTTGGATATACTATAAAGGGTGTGATTGTCATGATGTAGAAGAAAAAAAACAAACAAATAAAACCCAGAGCAACAAAGGAGCTAAAGCAGTAACAAATACAAGGTAGAGCAGTGGAAGTCCATTTCGGTATGTGGAGCCTGCAGATGCAAAGCTGCCTGTGACCGGAAGGCTTCTTCCGGGAGGAGCAGTGTTTTGCTTTCTCCTGGCCTTCTAAAAGACACCACTAGAATGAATGAAGCTGTCAGAAGTCCATCTCATAAAGAAAATGTTTGCTGTTGTTCTTTGTGCAGATGAGTCATCAGTAGGACTGTATTAGAATGGCTGCAGTAACAAACTGATTACAGTGCATGCTTAGAAAGTGTGGGCCCTAAGTAATCACTGGAGTGCAATGTAAATGCAAATATTTTCATAAAAATGATTTAAAACATTAGTCCTGTTGGGAAACAGTGGGTTTGCATGTGCAACTTCCACTGAGCTGAAAATGTGACTGTGCTGTAGGTCATTAAAATAGCAAATTTGCAGGGATTCTTCTCTGTGTAACAGCCACGTTCTCTGCTTTCTTAACATATCATTTCTTGCTTCTTTGCTCGTTTGCATGAGTTAAACAGTGTCTGTCAGTGCGTTTCATTTAAGCAAAAATTGCTGCTTCAACTAATAGGTAATCGGCAGTGGCAGGTGAAAGCAGAACTTGGCTGATAAGGAACACAAATGTTTAACATATCTAAAAAATTGCCTTAACTCTCCTTTGTTTTCTGAATGAAAAGGTTAAATCAGGTATTCACACAGTTTCTTTCCTTTTGTGCCTGGGTACCTTCCCTGGGGAAGTAAAATAATGTGAAGAAAGACTTTGTCAAGATGAGAATGTCACTTCCTTTTTCCTGGCCCTCCAGTATAATCCAAGAGCCCTATGCTTTTTTATGCTTGCTGGTAGGAAAAGGAGGTATACGTCAGCTCGTTGTTGAATGGGGTACAAACATATCTGCTAAATTTGGAGTTTGTATTAGATACATTATGCAGGGAATAAATATGCAAGCTTTAATTGAGAATTCAAATTTGAAATCATGAAGTGCTTGCTTTCTGATCCTTAGCTTTTAGCTCTACCTTATTGAAAACTTAAAGTACATGCATCTTCACAGCCACTTCTTTTAATTTTCATGGTGGTTTTTTTTGTTTTGTTTTCTTTTTTTCTTTTTTTTTTTTTTTTTGTTTGTTTGTTTTTTAACATGTAGTACTGCTAAAAATTTTTGTAGTCCTGAAAGAAATAAATGTCCAAATTCAGAGAATGATAAACTTTGCAGTTCTGGCATTTCTGACTTCCAGTTAGTTGAAATTGACTTTATTGCTAATGACGTTTTTTGGTTTTTTTTTAAAGTTCAGTGCTGAACTAATAGAAGCACTTATGTGTAGCCAGCTTTCTAAAATAATATTCATTGTTTGACTATTAATAATTTGTGAATAAACATGGTTTATTCATAGTCATTATAATGTGTGATAATTATTTGTTACAAGAGGAAAAAGTGCTCTTGAACATCGATGAAATTCTAAAGTTATTTGTGTTTCTAGGAAAAAGTATTCCTTGGAAGAGAGAGATGCTGTCTGGGAATGGGATAAGCAATTCAACCATAAATTTTTGAAAAAAAAGTTGTAAGCTAAAGAATTTTCAGGTGTGACTTCTGCTTAGAGTTTTCACTTCTGAATCTGGAATTCCCCACTGTAACAAGATGTGGCTTTGAAAGTTTTATTTTTCCTAATGCACAAAAAACTTGATTCTGTAGAACTGGAAATTTTACTAGAAAGACAAACACACACTTACCATTTGACATTCTTCATTAGCATGTTTGTCAAATTTACTGGCCTCTGAGAAAGGAAAGGTTGCTGCTTATTTGCTATGGAAGTATCTATTAATACAGGACACTTATTAGAACAGTACCTGCTTTTCAAAAGCATTAAAGTAACTTTCTTCAGAAAAGTAGCTTCCTGGTAAGAGAAGTTATTCCTCAAAGGAGAAATCTGTCAAGTAATATTTTTTTTTCTGTTGCCCTGGCTGTCATTAGGATCCCACCAACATGTGGATATCACAGCAGCCAGGACATGTAGTCATGAACTCCCCAGAACTTTTCCTTTTGGACTCCTAGATGTTTCTCACCCAGCCTGTCACTGGGGAGATAGTATGCAAAGCAGTTTCCGAAGAATGGAGGTGCTTTGACTTTCTTAGGAATTCTGTTTCACACTTTCTTTCCAGCTTATTCTTCAGAATATAAAGATTGCAGAGTGGGTTCTTAGTTGGCTGGGGAGAGTGTACTGCTGCTCTTATCAGTTACCTGCTGATGTGAATTGTTGCAAAAAACTTAATACTGTTATTGTCCTTTGCAAAAATCAAATACATATTTCTGTGCTTAAACATAACAGTGGAAGACATGTACAACTACATTTATATGTGTGAAATCTTCTCTTACTGCCTACTGCATGGATGTTTCTGAATCAGTTTGTTGGTTTTTCTTTATCCTGCTTTCTTTGGCTCCCTTTCTACTCTTGGTATTTTTTCTTTCTGAAATGGAGATTTTTAAATAAGGCAGTGAGGTGAGCCTGTAGAGTACCAAGCTGCATCTTTTATTTCAGATTTAATTGGTGAAAAAGTCTTCTTGTAACTTGAGGTTGAGATTAAACAATCCTAAATTGTTCGTTCAAATACTTAAGGTTCATAAATTTTGTGGTAAGTTGCTGCATAAGTGACCAGGAATGGCTGTCAAACCAGCTGCCTAGAAGCAGCTTCAAACAATTTGAAGGACTCTGTTATGCTGTTTTTAAAAGGCCAACCTATATTTGTCCCTTCAAGGAGAAAAAACATTATTTGCCAAATTAAATTTGTAAATAGCTTCGCAAGCACTACAAATTGCTGCAGTATAGAGATGGCAAAATGCTAAAGCCAAAACACTGTAACCTCATAGATAACAGCATTTCATTTTTACAGGGCCTGGTTTTTATATTATCTTTTGGTTTTGCACTTTTCTCAGCATTTGGTGTTACATTTGGCACTGTTGAATTCAAAACTGGTAGAGTTATTTTCATTCTTATAACTGTACAGTTTAGGTTATGCTTTCTGCAGGTCAGGGCATGTTTAAATACTACTCTTGCTTGAATTTTATTTTGGCAAATATCTTTTAAAAATGTCTTTACCTGTAGTTTCTTATGACAGTCTTAAGTAGCTTATGTAAATTTGTATGTTACTTTAAAAGGTTCATATAGATGTTGAAAGAAAAAATTGAAAATGTGTATTTTATTGCAAAAAATTTGTTAAAGTAGAAAATTTTTTTAAAAGAATAATTTGAAGGAACATGAATGAACCAAATACTGTATTATCATGAGAAGGCAGAACACTTCAGGCATATGAACATCCCGAGGCAAAGCTGAAGGTATTTTAACTTATTGATAACATCTACTCCTTGGGGCTAAAAATGAGTATCATAAATTTTTTATTTCAACCTATAATATAAATTAACTAAACTTTAGTTTTTAGATTGAGCTAAAAGTATATGGAAAAGTGGAAGACAAATAAGTATCTGAACAGTCTCAAGTGTCTGGAATTTAAAGTGATAGGGAATAAGCAGAGATTTCACAGCAAGCATTACATAAACAGCAATGCATTTCTCTTGACTTTAGTGGTATGGTGAATTTCTTCATACCAGGGGAATATCAGTGTGGGAGAGTAAGACCTGTATAGGAAAAGTGAGGCAGGTTGGCTGGAAGTATACTAAATACTGAGGTGCTGAATAAATGCTCTGGGGTTTAAACATCTCAAGGACGATGACAGTTTAAAAAACAAGTTCTGCATGCAGATTTCCTTGCATCACTGATAATGTCACTAGCTTCTTTAATATCTTTTGTTTTAAATATATGAGGCATTAGGAGTTTTATTTACTTCTGATATTTTACTGTGAAAATGAATTACCTGTGTTTTATTTTCAAGTTAGTGATGTATGTCAAGCGTATCTGGGAATAATTCTTTAACAATTTTGTTGCTGTTAACGTTTGACGTCTTTAGCTGCTGTTTAATAGAGGTGTATTTTGAGGATGTTTAACTTGGTGAGGCTTTACTGTGAAGCTAACTAGCAAGAAGGTCAGAGAAATTACTGAAACATATATCAAATAGTCACAGAAAACAGGAGTAATGTGTGACTTTACAAAAATTCTCAATTTAAAAATCACATCTCTCTCTTGCTTTGATTTCCACAATTTTTTAGTAAAAACAGGGTCACTGTAAATAAATAGTAGTTTAAATAGTTAAGATTAAATAATGTTGCATTTGCCTGTTTTTATTGAAATTGTTTAATCTGTGTTGAGAAAAGCACAAGATCGGGTGTGTAATATTCGCCCTACTTGCATGCAGTGTTTTAAGATTTGCTGACAAAAAGTGTGATACATGCTAGAGCAGAAAATAACATTGTTACAATTAGGATAGCCTACAGGCCAAGAAGGTGACTTAATTTTAAAAACAATTGTTGTTTTCAGTCTCACTCCCAAGCATGCATACTTGGATGCAGCAAGACAACTGAGGTGTGTGTCCAAAGCAATTTGTCTAGCCTGTAGCCTCACCATCCTGTGCCACCTCTGTCCTTCATCTCCTAATCTGTGTGTCCTGAAAAACTGCACATACATACGTTCACGGATCTTGATGACCTGCTAATCTGACATCCACCAACACACACTGCTCCACCAGCCCGTGTATTGCCACTTGTTCTTCCTTGTGCTTCTACACCTCTATGAACACAGCTGTTCTCCAGTTGTACCAATCTTAGGACTTTTATTACAATTATCTGTACTAGATCCTGCTGCTGCTGTGTAACACAGCAGTCCTGAAGGGAAGAATGTCACTGTGAATATGAAAATATCTAAACATGACTTTAAGAAACATATTAAAATATAATTCCACAAACCATTGGATTAAATGCAAGACTGGAACTGCAAGACAGGCTGGAATTATGAAGTCCTCTGCCAAGTTTGTGTGAGTAATCATGCAGATAGAAGTGCAGCAAGAAATGGAAGTCCTCAAGATTTTAAAAGTGAAATAAGGAAGAATAAAGTCCAGGTGTTTTTTTGACATTATTCTTGTCTGGTGGCAGCCTCTGGAAAGCAGAAGACCTGAGTAGCTGGAGGGAATGTATCTGTGGCTTGAAGCAAAATTAAATGGTTGGTTTCATGAAATACCGGTTCCAGGAAGGAGATACCAAGGAATGCTAGGCAAATAGGGTAGTGTTATATCTATCAAGTAATGGAGGTAACATCCCTGATTTGGATGCTAGTATAAGGGACTACTTAGACTACAAAGGAAAGTGCTAAAGGAAAAAAGTCTGTCCAACTGTGTTGTTCATAAATGGAAGTTACTTCTTTCCCCCATCCCACTCCTTGGATGTCATATTCAGTGGCTTCTATATAAATGATTACAAAATGTCTACCTAAGATTTTAATTGAAAATAGATTGGGTAAATTCAGCATGACTGAAATGTGTTGAGATAACTGTACTAAAGGAATAAAAAACTAGGTATCTATTTCTGTTTAGGAAGGATAAGTAGGTGAGAAAGAACTGGACTGTGATTCCTGCTTGTTGTAGAGTTTTCAGGAACTTTGAACAATGAGATATCAAGTAAGTGAAGATTGTTATCCTTATACTGAAGTGTAGATTTTGGATCCAGTGCAGTTTTGTTAAAAACTGTTGGAGCAAATGTGATTTGTTCAGTACCCTCATAAGCATATGTCTAAAGGTATTTTGAGAATTTTGTTTGGGAGGTCTTATGCAGCCAGTTTTGACATGAAGGGTGTTACCTCCTGTACCTTGCTATTTTGATTTTGAATCTTTTTTAGCTCATGGGATATGCTTATGATACAGACATGAATTACCAAATTGGAAGTAGATTTGTTAGACAAAGTGACCCTATGATCATTGTGGTCATCAGCATGAGCAAATAATCCTAACTGCTACTATATATATTTGATGTTTCAGAAGCATTTCATTAGGACTAATTTATGTCCCAAAAGCTGAAGTTGGGAAAGAAGAGAAGCAGTTCTTGAGAGCAGGCAGATGGTTATGAAAAGTGAGATGGCTTTTCTGTCATGCGAAACAAAGAACATAAACCAAAAACCAACCGCCTCCCCCAAAAAAACCCCAAACCAAACCCACAAAAAAAGGTGAAATACTGTGGTCTAGACTAAGGATAACTTCAGAGGGAAAGGCCCAATCCAGTGTCTTGCAAAACAAATGTACATCTTCACATTATTCTAAGTTGTTTTTAGTCAGGTTTCGTAACAAACATGAAGGGTTGAAGAGAAATAACTTCAGAAATTTTGTGTATAAAATATTGATAATAAAAGCAAAACTAAAGAGATGGATGACTGTGAAGAAAGGAGGAGAGACTAAAAACAGAAAGCAGTCAATCTTCAGTGATAAAAGGAGAGGTATGTGAAGAAATGTTGATCTGGGGAGAAGGTGCCTTTTTGGGGGTTTGTTTTCAAATGAGCTAAGTCAGAGCCAGGCATCCAGTGTCTGTTAAGTCTCAGAAGTGTAAAGGCTGTGCCGCATTTCTACTTGAAGCATGAGAGCCCATGTTGTACCTTGCCACGTGGCTTTAGAGATCCATATAGTACAGACATTGGCAAAAGCCACTGTCCTGAGCAGCCTGTTAAATGCAGCCGAAGGCTGAGATGTCTTGGTCCTTCAGAAAACTCTGCAGTTCTGCTTAATGTTCTCTGTTCTGTGCTGCTTGGTGATATCCTTAAATTCCTTCTCCTGTTTCTGTTCATCCCTGTACTTCATGCCTGTCTTGCACCCTGCTGCATGTCCCTTATCCCCCTTGCCTTTCCTAGAAGGAGAAGTGTTCATCTCTACCAACATTTATAACAGCCAAGCCCTATTGAATTATATGCCAGTTAACCTAACATCCATTATTGGAATGGAGTAATTCATAAAATATTTATCTGTTAGCAGAGTAAAAGCTAGAGGTACATAAGTGGTGATTGACAAGGTTTTATGGAAAATATCACCATTCAAACAAACTGCATAATTTGTTGATGAAAGAAGCTGTGTGAATGTATTGTTAAAGCACTCATTAAATGGAAGAATTGACTAATTAGTAGTCAGCAATGAATCCGTGTCTCTACTCTGATTTCCAGAGGATTTCCATCTTAACATTGCTCCATGGCAGTTCTGAACTCTATTGTGAAAATGGCAGTCTAATGTTTAAATACCCAATGTTAATTATTCTGAACTGTCATGTCATTTCAACCCTGATACTTCCAGAAGAAGGCTGACCAGTCTAGGTGAACTCACTGTGTCCTGTATGAAACCAGCCAATAAGTGCTTGGGGTTTGGTTAAACTCTGATTTTACAGGCTAAAAAAAAAAAAAAAAAAAAAAAAAAATTCTGAAGAGAGACTGCAGAGTTAGACAAAGATGGTGGAAGAGGAGATTTGAAGACCATGCTTGGCAGAACCCCTGTGGTTTTGGGGCTTATGTCTCCCCTTTCGTGTCTCAGACCCTCTCTTTGTTTCTGTTTGCATAGGCTCATAGAAATGTTGGATGTTAGGGACCTCTGAAGGTCGTCTACTCCAAGTTCCCACTTGAAGTGCCAGTGTCCCCAACGCTAGATCAGGTCAGTCAAGGTTTCAGGTGACTCTTTGAAACCCCTAGATGGTTGGTGGGTGGAGATGCCACCCTGGAATCTTCTTCCCCTCTGTATTGCACAGGATCTGCGTAATCAAACTAAGGCTGCATAATGTGCAAGATGAAAGGAATAAAGAAAGGTGATGATGAATGGCAAGTATGGTTTGAGTGAGTAATGAGAAAATAAGGAAAGGAGAAGGTTTGAAAACTTAGATCTTGAAAAGTGAACTTCAGATTCCGTGCTACTATTAGTGTCATTGGGGAATGCCTCTCTGAACTGGTCTGCTTTTAAGACAAGCAGCTGTTTCGTCTTAGGTTTCAGCAGAAGCAAAGTTTTGGATAGGCCAATACCTGTTTAGTTCTAGCAATAGGAGTTTCTGTGCAAGCAGAAGCCTCACGTGTCTCTGGCATTTCTATTGTGTGGGTTAAAACAAAAAAGTGGTAATATTTTTTCTGTGCAAATGTCAGAACCTGAAGCTGCTTTGTCTGCATGAAGGTTTTTGAAGGATAGAACTGGTAATAGAGCAGATCAGAATATTTATTATGAGAAACTAATTCATGCTCCCTCACAAGTAGCTCCATTATTTGAGGAAGTAATGAAGGGAACTTACTCCAGCCTATAGGTGAGGAATTTAGGTTTTTCTACTGGAGAAACTATTAAAGTATAATAAAATCATAGCAAATGCTTGGGATTCTTTTCCCTATTATATATTGAACTTACAAGCCTAGTGATTGATTTACAGTTTGAAGGTTATTTTTGGAATAAAAATGAACATAAGCTTATGTATTTTTAATTAAAGCTTGGATTAGATGTAACAGAGCTTGAATTTCTGGAACAAGATCTCTGACAGAAGGTGTAATTCATGCTGAGACCATCCATCAAAGTTTCTAAATATTGCCTATTTTGTCCTCTAATATCTTAAATTTTTATCATTCCAATTAAAGTCACATGAAATAGTCCTTAGGAATTTGTGTTTTAAACAGCTAGAAAGTGATTTTGAGTTATTTGTTAATGAAGTGAATGAGGTGTAGGAATGAGGTGTTTTTCCAAAAGTTGTAAAATACTTCTGAATATTTCATCCATTTAAAAGTATTTATTTAACCTCATTTTTATATTTGTGGATTTATCTGAGATAAGGAGAAGTATTAAGTTATTGCTGGAAACCTGCGGGCCATTGTCAAAATTGCCTTTGGGTACTATTGAAACATTTCAAATATTATTGGTGTTGTAATTCACTGTATCATCTCAGAGTGAATAGTAAGAATGAAGCACATTCCAACTTTCTAAACCAAAACAAAGTTTTCAAGGCTAGTGTTAATTTTATAGAAAACTCTTTATACCATTCACACTGCCAATGAATCTTTTACAACTTGTTTTCAAGGTAAAATTATTTTTAAGACTGGTTTAATGACATTAGTCTCCTTATGCCATGTACAGCATTATATCGCTTTCTGTGTTAATTAAAATGTAGGCAAATACTCCTTTGTACAAAACATTGTGTAATATCTGGGTTATGTACAGTACCAAGTCAATGTTGGTAAAACAGTCCCGTCTCTCAGGCTACCTTTGGTTTTTTAATAATTACTCAACACTGTCAGCTTGATCTCTTCTGGATTTGTAAAGATTTGATTCAGAAGTAGCTTTTTCAGAGTGAATATGATTAGCTTGCCTGAGTCTAACTATATTTTCTTAGTTAACTGAGGTGACATAAGAACTGTGATCTTGTAGGCCTTTCATTATTGAAAGGAACTACTTCCTGGTTTAAATGTTTTGAAAGTATTCAGACTCTCACCTGAAAGTATGTGTTTTTGTTTTTTTTTTTACTTAAAATGTGGTTTTTTTACAGGTTCTTGAAAGTCTGTGGCTCTGAACTAGTACGTCTTGAGTTGTCTTGTGGCCATTTCCTCAATGAAACATGCTTGGAGGTCATTACTGAAATGTGTCCAAACCTTCAGGAATTAAATCTCTCATCATGTGACAAAATACCACCTCAGGCTTTCAACCACATAGCCAAAGTGGGCAGCCTGAAGCGTCTCATTCTCTACCGAACAAAAGTGGAGGTAGGAACAAGTATTTCTAACCTTTGCAATAAATACTTTAAATCCTTGTAAAGTCGTATTTTTTTCATTAATGAAGAAAGGAATTAGAATTTTGCATGTAAACTTTAAAGGTAAATTTAGAAAATTCAGAGGTAGTTTCAAAACCCGTAGGGTTTTTTTTGTTTTCAAAATCTCGTGGATTTAAGGAAAATAAATAAAAAGTCTGCATGTTTTAACTTACATGGAAGATCAGTGACTTCACTAGCTGTTTTAGGAAATGTAGTGAAATCATAAATGTGAAAGCTTTTCTCTTGTTTTGAAGTGTACTCCAGGTAGATTGTATTTGGCAATATAATTGGGAAATTGTTGTGTTTAGTAACTTACTGTAATTCTCAACATTCTCGCCTTTAGAATGACTTACTAATTACGCTGTCTTTGTATTTTAGCAATGGAACTATTGGAATAATGGAATATTTTTGAGACATGGAACACAATTTTTTTTAATACTTTTCATTTACAGTGTACAAATTACTTCTTTATATAGTTACTCAACTGCCCAAATCAGAGTTATTGTTTGCTGCAACACATTTCTAAGATGGAATTGGTTTATGTGCTTTATTTGAGAAGGTTGTTGTAGCTTACTGCATTCTACAGATGTTATGTACTAGTAAGTTCAGCAGTTTGAATTAGGAGCAATTCCATTTCTTCTCCCTAGATATGTTACTCATGTAATATACCCTTACTACTCTGGCTTACATAGAAGCTCTTGTACTCCTGCTTCTCCTGTTGGAAATGCTACTGTTTCTTTTTAGAGCTGCAAAATGAGGGGAAAAACATGTCTCTGCAGGGTTTTTTCTGAGCTTTTAGATCTAGGCTAAACATTTTAGGAAGAGTTTGATTGTGTGTGTTGCTTCTGCTTTTGGTACACAGATGTGAGGTGATGACACTGGGCTGTGTGGGGTGTTAAGCTCTTTAATGGAAGAACTGAAACTGGAACAGTAGGTTGTACCTACTGGGTGTCCAAGTGGCATCTGATGTTACAGTACCTTATTTCATTTATAAGCAGTTCACACCTAACACACGTGATCCAAAGTTAGTTGCATCTTGTCCTTCCTTTGGTAAAACATACTTATGTTTGGGTCCAGGGTCTAGCTAGCTGTCTGTAGTGATGATGTGGTAGTGCAAGGTAGTTAAATTAAAGGGTAGGCTACCCAGAATGACTGGCATTTGCTGGGGAGTATGCAGGCAGTCACTGGGAAGCCAGTGCCTCTTATTAACTTGCTACTTTGTGGTAGTTGTTCTGTATATTGAAGCTGTTATTATTTTCTTCAAACTACACAGTAAATTGGTGAGCCCTACTTGTGTGTGCCTTTTGTACAGAGCCAAACTGGTGCCCTGGATGTATCTGTTCTGTTTCTGGATCACTAGTCTTTCCATAAATCTTGGATAAACCTCCTTACCTAAATTTGACTGTGGGCTTTAATTCACCAGGCTTTCTCAGATCCAAGAAAGATCATTGTGCCAGAGGTAAAGATTGTGTGTATATGGGGTTTTTTCGTACTCTTGATTATGATGTTCTCGATTCTACTCGGGTAACTTCTAAAGTTTGAAACTTGATGCTTGTAATAGTGCAGCAGCTGGGGTATGCTCTGAAAATGATTGGTAATTGTCATTTCTCAGCTATCACTTTGCTGAACACAGCTTGAAATTAGATTGATTATAGATGGTAAAGATTTCCTGACTTTTAAGCCCTTAAATTTAGAAGATTCATTTCTGCCTATAATGTGTATGGACATGCATCTGCGTGGAGCTTTCAAGAACTTCCATTTGTAATCAAGCTTACTTAAGAATGTGCTTCCATTTTGTACGTAAGTGTAAACAAAAGGTACTGTACTTAACAAACCATGGGAGAGAAATTTCTAGAAATTTAAATAGATAAATTGGAGAGGATGCTTTTGTGTTATTTGTTAATATCAAACCACTTAATATACACTGTGCATCACAGGTGCAAAAATAAAAGGGAAAGAATCAAGATGTAGCATAGGGTTTGACCTAGAGGATTAGAGTTTAAAAAAGTCACAGATTTGTAGAAATAACATTACCTTTCTCAACATTAGCCTCTCTTAATGCAAATCTTTGATTTGATAGAAAAAGTGGACTGCCATTCCTTCTGTACTTTTCAGCTGGTATGGAAATACTAGGTGGTAACTGGTGTCTAGATGTAAAAAAAGACAGGAAAAAATTGATCGGGCATGCTCTGAAGTGAATTAGACTTCTCTAAAACTTGTCAAAGAACTGTAATATAGTTGTGTTCATGATTTTTGTGGCATTTTTGCTATTACTGTGTCTTCATTGTTGGAGCTCCTAAGGAGCAAACAATGGAACAATGCTAATGTTTAATCAAGAGCTTGGCATTGTATTATTGCCAACTGGACCTGCTCAGAGAAAAGAATCTGAAGCTGTGAGTCCACTAGTGAAAACTGACAACAAGTATGTGATTATTAAGACTAAGTAAAGAAGGTGAGAAGACCAGAGCTGATGTGTGTGATAGGGTCCTCTGTGAAACTTCTGTCTCAAAATAAAAATAATTAAAAAAAGAAACCCAAGAAAAATCCATCCATTCCATTTAGCCCACTGTTTTCTCAAATCAGTGGTTTGCTTTTCTTCTTAAAAACTAAAACAACAAAGTTTTTGTCTTGCATCATATTCTCGAATGGCAAAGGTAGAGATCCTACCATAATTATCAGTGTGTTGTCATTTTTTTCTGACAAAAGAATGACATCCCTGTCCATCCTCTGTTAACCACCTTGATGTAAAAATGGGGTGATATACTACTGATATTACTGGAGATTTTGAGGTAGTTGACAAAACATGAAGAGGATGGCATATGTAGAGAACAAGTAGGTAAAAAGTTGAAGAGAATGAGTTTTGCAGTGGGACATCATAATTTTCTTGGTGTGTATCTTGCAGCACAGTTAAAGGCATTCACTGGAATAGAAGCAGAGTAAAATGATAAATGAGGAGGGAGACTGGCTTTTATGCTTGTAAACAGTCTGATGAATTTGTTGTTATGACAGTTCAGGGTAAGCACTTAAGTTGAATTATTTAAGCAAAGTGATCGTATTTTTTGAAAGGGTCAACACTGAAAAGAACAAGAAAAGCAAAACAGGACTTAATGCTCTAATTGACTTTTGAAGGAGGGCCCCTCTCTTGCATGTTTTTTGTGATGCAAATGAAAAAGGGCTTATTTTCCTACTCCACAGTTGTCAATCTCTGTTGAAAATGTGGTGTCCTGGTAGAGCACATCTGAGTAAATAGTAGAATTTGTTCTTTTGGTTGTGCATTTGGGTGTGTGATTAAATAAGACAGGATATGGCATGAAGATTCTCTGTACTTTTTATCAGTATGTGATAAAGCTGCTTCTGTTTTTCCATGGTGCTTTATGAAGTATAGTATTAACATGTTAATAAAAGAAATGGTATTTTGATTAAGTGAAAATAAAACTCCCATGTACCTGCCCAGGTGCAGGATTTTCTTTACTTAGACAACGTCTTGCAGTACTCTTTTTTTTTTTTTTTTTTTTTAATGCTTGTAACATTTTAAATTTAAAGTGGTGTAGTTTTTCAGTTGGCACATTTACTGTGTCACTAATGAATGAATTCTGAGAAAATACGCTTCAGAAAATGGACTGTTGTTAATGATTTTTATACGTTAGGTAGAGAAAAACAGATTTTGAGGAAGATGGAAACTTGATAAAATTAACAACTTATTATATAATCACCTGAACAATTGTTATGGCAATTTCTTGTTATTTTAGCTGTTTTCTTCGATTAGGTTTTGTACTTAAAAATATTCCCATTGTTTCTGTAATTGAAGCTCCAATTTTTAAGCGTACATTTTTAGTGAAATGGACAGTTCTGTTGTTCTGCTACTTACAGCACTGCATTGCTGTTTTGGAAGATGGCTGTACCATCTAGAGGAGTTTATGGTCTTTGATCTAACTACTGATTCTTAAGATCGTTTATAATGTTATTGCCTTGACTTACTGACTGCAAGTTACTGTGTACAAAATAGGTTTCAAACATTTGAATTGAAACTTCGACACCCTTCAATTATTTCAATCTCTCTGTTAAAAGAAGGAAAGTCCAATGACTTTCATTAACTTCTTCCAGGCTGAACAAGCCAAAAAAACCAAAAAAAAACCCCAAACAAATCAACCAACCAAAAAAAAAAACACCAAAAAAAAAGCCACCAGCCAAAAAAATGTCATGTGTCACTGTATTCCTCCACACTAAGTGCAGCTCATTTTTTCCAGTGGTTTAAGTTAATTATTAAAGTTTTCATTCTTAAAGGTTGCTAGATTATGTATATGCTTGAAATGATTTGTAATTTGCCTGAGAAACTAATCTTAACGTTTTATAAATGTAACTTCTGCTAGCTCAAGATCACTAATATACTTGAGGGATTTCTGTGCTGGTGTCTTTAGTATTTACTAATAGGTGACTCCTTAATATTTATTCATTGTGAGTGTACTCACAGTATAATTTAAGGACAGTTGGCACTGATACATTTGAAGAACACAATGAACAATAGAGGTATTCTTGTAGACAGTAACTGGCAATGCACATCTTTATGGTTTCAGTATGAATGTTATCTTGATATAATGCTTATTGTGAAGTATCCCACCCATACAAATAATGCAGCCAAAATTGTATTTTAAAGAAACAAAAGCCACAGTTAGAGTAGAAGAGAATTTGACAGTCTCAAACTGCTGTCTATAAATTTTGATATAAGATTATATGTTTCAAGTTGCATGATATTCTGGATTCTTCATAGAGTGTGAAGGAAAAGTTTGAAAAGTTTGTATTACAGTTATAATTTAAATACAAAATGAACTGAATTTAAATCAAATGATAATGGACAACAGACTTTCTTTTGTACACGTTAAAGAGGTGTATTTATACATTTTATCTCTGATACCCTTGACCAAGAGCAAATTTGGAACTTGGGCAGCTGTGAGA